CAATCAGCTCCCTCGAGAACTGACTGCTGGCATGCTCCACTCCCAAACAAATAGCTGATGTGTGTCCCCACCCGTGATGTAACGAGGGCAGGGAACCACACAGCGTCTATAATCTTGCTTGCCATAAATATAGATAGTGATATATATGTCTTTTCTTGGCTTTGACAAACAACAATAAATAGACAAGGAAAGAGTACAGAGATCGCTTGCTGAAGGCTACAGAAGCTGTCGCGGTCTGATCTCAAGGGTGCTTTATAGTTTCCTGGTCGATGACGTCACCTGATGTCCTACTCTCTCATTGGACTGATTGTACAGACGCTTCACGACGCAATCATGCAGAGCGTTCCCATCGCGTTTGACAACGCAGCTCGAAGTTCCCTTGAAAGGGAATCCTCCATTTGCAGGAGAATTCAGAAAGCCACACGGTGGCAAACTGAGCAGATTCTGTAATTCCTGTCACAAAACAGGTCATACAGAGGAAAAGTGCTGGTCATTGGGCAGAGGCAGACCTCCTCCCTATTTCAAAAAACACAGACGACCACACTCTGACACAAACCAGCGCTCTGCAAGGAACCAAAGCTCAGATGCATCTAAAACCCTCACTGAGCTAACAACTTTGGTCACTCAAGGCCTTTAGCTATCAGCGTCATTTGCTAGTTGGGTAGCAGCCCAATAGCAAACAGCTTAATAGTTTTAACATCTAAATTTAACGACTCTGTAACATTTTTTTTCCAGAGACCAGAAATAATAATTTCATTTATATTCTTAAATTTGAATATACATTGTATTGTAATCGCCAAGCAAGCATTAATTGGACAAGTGTGCAATTAATCTTTACAGTTCAATTTCGTTGACCTAATACCCTGTGCCAAAAGGGCGGAGGTGTGTTTTAATTCTTAAGTGTGGCACAGGTAATTGCCAACCGACCAAGAAAGCGAATTTACAAGGAGGGATCCTCCTCTAAGGTTTACTTCTGCAATTCCTCGGAGGACGGACGCCAGGACGGCCGATCTCCATGATTGTTTGAACATAACCTGAGATTCGGGAGATGGGTAAAAAGACAATTCAAGAGGCCTTTACATCTCACAACAACACATCACTACATTAGCAAGGCCTCCCAGTTTAGAACTGGAACTAAAATTTGCAACACAATTGTTATACAGTAGAATTCCACCCATCTCCTAGACATTAACACTGACTGAACACACTCCTCCATCACAACACACCCACAGCATCATCACACGGAATAGATCAAATCTATCCCAACTGACAGGCCATTCTCACCCCCAAGGCGTCACCTAACTGACGCCTTGGGAAGCATTTGGACATGCTTCAATATCTGACGCTTTAGGCGCCCTTTAGCGTCAGTAAGATGACGCCCTAGGATCGCGTGTACCCTACCCCCACCCCACACCTAAACCTAACCGCGTCCTCTAACTGACGCTTTCCTTTAGCGTCAGTTAGATGACGCCGTAGGGTCGCGTCATGTAAGTGACGCTAAAGGGCACCTAAAACGTCAAATATTGAAGCATGGTCAAAGGTGACGCCTTGGGGTGAGAATGCGTTGCAACTGAACATTACACATCATGAAGATGAAGATGATATAGAGTCCAATAGTGTCACTTCACTAAAGATCTATTGTGCATCTTCACACTCACAGATCCGGATAGCTTCACACACATAAAGATGGGAAGCTGATCCCATGACATAGCACACACTATTCACCACACTCTGCCAACTCATGGAAAAACACTGGAAAACACACACACACACACACACACACACACTGTAGATTTAAAATCTTCGGTTCCCCTTGTTATTTAATTTAATGAAAAGACACCAGTCATTCTGCCAATATATGTTATTTATTTTACCAATTTATATAAGACATAAGGGAGAGAGAGTGATAATGGACCCGCAAAGATCTTCCTTCTTGCTTCTCTGTATTTTTCCCTCTCTCTGCTTAAACAAAGAGCTACACAGTACATATAGGCTGTACCAGAGAAACATCTGCTTCCCATTAATCGTTGAAATGTATATTCTGCTCGATGGAAAGAAACATAATACATTCAACTTCCCCCCCAAAGTCCCCCAACTCTAAAAGTCTTCCACATACAGTATTCAGAAAAGTTTGATTCATAAAAATGTAGATTATAAATGATTATGAATGATATATGAAAAATATAAAAAATGTATATGAAAAGTATAAAACACATACATAATACTAACGATTATTATTATTAATAAAAACAATAAAAAAAACTAAAAACAACATTAAATGATGAGATTGTGAATCTTCAACACACATCCACGTGCAAGACACCCCGCACGAACACGAACAGCTCTGGAAAAGCTTGTAAAACGTTACCAAAGTATCTAGTATGTTCGAAATACGTGTAGAAGAACTGTAATCCACTACCTTAGCATGAAATGTTATTATGAGTGCCAAAAGAGTTTAAATATCTGTAATACAATGCATTAAGACATAACTCAACAACGCTGTCTATGCTGTATGAAGTGTTTGATCTCGTTATAATCCTCCTGGTGTGATCTGTCTTTTAAACTGTATATCGATATATATATAAATAAGACACTGCCCGCAAGACTTGATAGCTTTGATAACAGGGCCCTCAGGACCATAGATAACATCAGGTGGCCCCAGCGGGTTTCCAATCAAGTGCTTAGAGCCCGCACGTGCCAGCCCAGAGCATCTTGTCTGGCTGCGCAACGCCGCACCCGCTGGCTTGGCCACGTCCTCCGTCTCCCTCTTGACCATCCGACAAGAGCCATTCTCCAGTTTGATCCGAGAGCTGCAGGCTGGAGACGACCACGAGGTAAGCCCCGCACCCGATGGCTTGACGTCCTTGCGGGTGACCTCCAACAACATGGAGTCACTATGGAGGATGCAGAGCAGCTGGCACAAGATCGCCGGCACTGGAAAGAACTGGTTCATCTGGTCGGCTCAACGCACAGGGATGGGATGTAAACCCATACCCAATGCAGGAGCTTTTAGAAAATAGAAATCGATATAGTGAAATGTATGTCATTATGTATAAGGTTGTTTTCAAAGTTAGCAGAACTTTTCCTTTGTCTTAAGGACCAAAATTAACAACGTGGTATGTTAATCAAGTGGGCGTACGCCCGAGGACAGTCATTGGCCGTCAAGTTTTAGGGCGGAGTCCCGAAACACCCTTGAAAAACTCGCGCCACAGAATCATCTTTCTCTTACACTCCCATCTCTTATACCCAGCATCTCTTACATCTTACATGCTCTTACCTCCTTCCGGAATCTCCTTGGACCCTCTCGTCGTCTTCCAACCTCTTCTGAAGCTTTTTAAGTGATCAGTCTCTCTTATTTTTACTTCACGTTTACTTTTGCGAATAGCCAGTTAAAGTTCGTCAGTTTTCCTACAAGAAGGCAACATCCAGCACGATAGAACTCTCTAGGATGCTTTGAACTCCCGTGAAACACACCCACGTGAGAGAACAAAGAAATCCATCTCCCGCCTCCTGGACGACCACACGCTTCCATCACACACAGCTCTGAATGCAATTTGTTCCATCAAATTTGAGACTCAAGATATAATCCTGTGGTTGTCTCTGAAGGGTTAAATCTGTGCTAGTAACTGTAATTTTCCTGGTATTTCCCTTTTCCCCTCTCTTAAGTTTCATTTTCATTTTGTGTGTGTATATGTACATATGGACACAGCTCCGCACACAGTCACACACAAGCTCCAAGGTCCCTCAACACTCTGTCCACCTGGCCCGCTTAAATGCGCTCTCCTCACGCCAATCAATGAAATCACAAACAGGTGTTCATCGTTTGAACTTGACCCACTTACTTCCCGCTCGGCTCCTCCCTCGCTCTCCCGCTGCAGACACCGCTGAGTCACGCCCCCCATGCCACAGGCCCAATTTGTTTTCTGATGCAATTTGTATAACAAAGGGCTGAGTGATTATCACAGATAAAAGCATAATACATGCAGAATATAGAATCTATTCTTTTACAACTGAAGAAATATCTTATTAATTCATCTAATAGGGTAATGATAATAATTCTATTAAATAATGAAGTCTGAAATGACACACATGGTGAAATTCACTAAATAATCCTAACTTAAATCACTAAAACGAACTGCAAAGCAATCACACAACATCAGCCGCCCATACAATCTAATACTGTATTTTTTTTTAAGAATCGCAATAGTTACTTTCCGAGGTAATTAGTTAGTTTTGTAATGGTAAATAGACTGCATTTATATAGCGCTTTCACAGACCCAATGGCCACCAAAGTGCTTTACAATTTGCCTCACATTCACCTTTTCACACGCCGACGGCAGTGTCAGCCATGCAAGGCGCCATCCAGCTCGTCAGGAGCAGCTAGTGTCTTGCTCACGGACACTTCGACACTTGGTCAGGTGGAACCGGGGATTGAACCTCCAACCTTTCAGTTTGTAGACAACCTACTTGAACCACCGAGCCACTGCCGCCCCACAAACTTCCTCACGTAATGATATAACTCAGTTACTCACTCAGTTACTTTTTCTGAGAAAATAGATGAACACACAAACTCACAGGTGTGAGTAAATTGCTTGCGACTACCTGGATAAGATGTCAACCATACTAAAGCACATTTCATATGTTTTAGGATTTGGGATGTTATAATAATGTTTGCAATTATATTAAAACCAATGAAACAAAATTACTTTAATAAGTATAATATTTGAACAATCACTGGGGCCTGTCATATTGAGGCCCATCGTGCCCATCTGTTAGCTACTCCAAGTTTAATTTGTTTGTAACTTTTTCAGTCTTGGTGTTCCTTTGTTAGGATGAACATACTGGGATTTGCCAGTTCTCTTGTGGCCCATACCTAGATTTATTTGAAAGATTTTCATTTAAAGATTTATTGGACATTGTTGTCTTTATCAAGTTTACTGTGGATCTGTATCCTCTTCAGCCCCTGCACTGGATTCTTTCACTTGAAAGAGACAAACACATAACACAAGGCTTTATGTTTATTGATGATCCATAAAATAAAACATTGCGCACAGCAAAAGTAACATATACAAGAAATAATCTCTTTTTGGACAATAGCCTGCAAACTGCCATATAACCACCAGTCGGAGCTATTCTCTTTAAAACGAGCATGCTAATGACCTAAAATCTTTAATGGCCTAAAATCAGAAACAAAACATTTAGAAATTTTTAAAATAGAACAATTTTTACAGACTTTAAAAAAAGGTTACTTTGAGCATATAAACATCACCAGTCAACACATTTATACAGTATTACAAAATTCATTAAAAAAAAAAAACGTTTACTCATGGGTATAATTTACAGTCATAAAGTAGGAGAATGTAAAAACATACACTTAAGCACTAGCAATAAAAAAAAATTAGGCAACACTTTTTTTCACAGTGTCCTTGTTACATGTTACATGTAGGAACTATGGTAATTACTATAAATTGTGCATAATTAGACCAACCCCTATTTCTAACCCTATACTAAGTACATGTGGCTAAATATTACTACTCAGTACTTAAATGTACAACTATACTGCAACATGGACACCTTAAAATAAAGTGCAACCAAAAATAAATATGATAGGTTCTATAAAAATATACACCTTACTTCTGCATCCTGAGAGTTAAGATGTAGGGAATGCGAAGGCAGGGATACAGTGGTTTAGATCTCACTCTCGTATGTGTGTAAGTACACTTTTAGAGAGAGAATCTCCTCATAGGTCCTGCCGGTGCGACGATAAAAATCTAGTCCTGTGAGTAACTCCACGTCCCGTAGGCGTGCTGTGTGTGTCTTCATTAATTCCTCCACCCACTTTGAGTCGTCTTCTGAACTCTGTATGACAAAACATGTGTTTAATGCTGTTTTTGCCCCTGACTTCAATCATAGACTAATTTACATAAATACGGCAACTTCTGAAACTTTTTGTGTAGATATTATACATGTAGACTAAAAAAAAAACATGAATTTGGGAAAACGGTAATGTTATGCACGCATGTATATTACGTGTTAGTAGTAAATGATGTTTTTTCTTCACATAAAAAACACTTTTATTTGCATGGATAATACTCCTCATTCTCATCCCAAGGCGTCATATACTGACGCTTTTGCCAATGCGTGTAGACGCATTGGCAAAAGCATCAGTATATGCAGTATATCCAACGCACATGGCACCCTTAAGCGTCAATATAACACGCTTCTGTTATGGGTAGGTTTAGGTCTGGGGTAGGGTTAGGGTTAGACCACTAGGAGGCGACTTCTGCCCATATATATCTGCGTCTCATATTGACGCTAAAGGGTGCCATGTGTGTTGGATGTATATGCATTGGCAAAAGCGTCAGTATATGACACCTTGGGATGAGAACGGGCTGATAATACAGCATTTTTAATAGTTTTTACGGATCCGTGGGAACAGGGATCATTTTGACAACGTCGCTTGTATGCGAAAAACACAAAGGAAAAACATTTCCATTTTTTGTACATTTTTGTTGTGTCAACACCCTGAAAATGTACAATTTAAAGTGGCTATATGTAGAATACAGAAACGTCTCGGTTACGTATGTAACCCTCGTTCCCTGAGTAGGGAACGGAGACGTTACGTCAGAAGTGACGGAGATTGGGGGTTTCGCATAGAAAGCCAATCCTCTTCGAGTATTAAAACACGAGCCAATGGCATGCAATGCCTTGGGGCTGCGGAATTTTGCATAGCGTACTCCGCCCTACTCCGTGAGTATAAAAGGAGGAAGTGAACGCAACCGCAGTATGTCTTCGCTGAGGAGCCAAGACTGAACTCGGCCTCTACCCAGCGATACAGCAGAAGTGGCAGGGAGACGTAACGTCTCCGTTCCCTACTCAGGGAACGAGGGTTACATACGTAACCGAGACGTTCCCTATCGTAGTCACTTCGAGTTACGTCAGAAGTGACGGAGATTGGGGGTCTGTGCCATCACGCCATCTTCAAGCTGTCTTCCAGTGCCCTGCGAAAGACTGAACCCCCGAGCCTTACCTCTTTTTTTTTTTTTTTTTTTTTGGGGATCCGACTTTGACACAGGATTACCAAGGTACACTGGGAACATATCCCGAAGGGGACATGCTACCAGCTGCCTACCGAAGGGAGGACTTAAGAATACACATATGGCCACATAGGAACGCATATGGAACACTGGAGTACCAACCGCAGGTGGCTACTGATTTAAACTCCAGGGGTGGCAGATGGCTTGCCAAGGGAAGACACATGCTCAGAGAGGCTTACAGTGGATAATACACATGAGACGGTTACCATGGGGAACCGTGCGCATGGAGGCACCTAGCTAGCATCCAGAGCAACGCAGTGGTGCCCGCATCGTCGGTGCTGGAGGACTCAAGACTTCAATGGAAGAACTGAGGAAATATCGCACTTATCCAGTCCGGGGAGTGGAGTGGCGAGCAAGCGAAGACACCTGAGCGGATCCAGAACTGGCCGAAACGAGTACGTGAGAGGATACCGGCTCAATTCGCAGATTATAGAATCTGGCGAAGGTGTTGGGTGTCGCCCAGCCTGCAGCTCTGCAGATGTCTGTTAGCGAGGCGCCGTGCGCTAAAGCCCAAGAGGAGGCTACACTCCGAGTGGAATGGGCCGTCACACCAAGGGGGCACGGAAGGCCTTGCTGCTGGTAAGACAAAGCAATGGCATCCACTATCCAGTGGGACAGCCGTTGCTTTGAGAGAGCCCTTCCCTTCTGGCTCCCCCCATGACAGACAAAGAGCTGGTCTGAGGTCCTGAAACACTGCGTTCTGTCGACATAGGTGCGGAGAGCACGTACCGGACAGAGCAGTGCCAAGGCTGGGTCTGCCTCCTCCAGGGGCAGCGCTTGCAGGTTCACCACCAGGTCCCGGAGGGGAGTGGTAGGAACCTTGGGCATATATCCAGGCCGGGGTCTCAGGAATACGTGAGAGTAAGCCGGCCCGAACTCCAGGCACACTTCGTCAACAGAGAGTGCGTGCAGGTCCCTTACTCTCCTGATGGATACCAATGCAATCAGGAGTGCTGTCACATAGGACAGGGCAAAAACTCTACCGACTGCAAAGGCTCCAGGGGAGGCCTCTGCAGAGCACCCAGGTCTACTGAGAGGTCCCCAGAGGGCAGGAGGGGAGGGAGGCGGATTTAGCCCCCTCACTCCCCTCAGGAACCTGATGACCAGGTCATGCTTCCCATAGACTTACCTTTCACTGCATCATGAGACGCGGCAATGGCCGCGACATAATCCAAAGGGTGGAGGGCGACAGCCTGCGCTCCAACCCCTCTTGCAGGAAGGAAGCATGACTCCGATCGAACATCTCCGGGGGTCTTCTCAGCGAGAAGAACACCAATTGACGAAGAGGTTTCACTTCAACGCATAAAGGTGTCACGTGGACGACGCTCTTGCGGAAGTGATGGTTGCCGCCACCGCAGGTGGCAGCGAACTCAAACCTGCCTCGTCCCGTCCTGGAGCCACACGTGCAGCCTCCAAGATCGGGACGAGGGTGCCACAGAGTGCCCCGTCTCTGAGAGAGTAGGTCCGGTCTCAGAGGAATAGGCCAAGGAGGTGCTGTCGCGAGGAGCAAGAGTTCGGAGAACCACGTCTTGGTGGGCCAGTAGGGGGCTACCAGCAAGACCTGCTCCTCGTCCTCCTTGATCTTGCACAACACCCGTGCAAGGAGGCTCACTGGGGGAACGCACACTTGCGTGGGCCCCGTGGCCAGCTGTGCGCCAGCGCATCCGAGCCGAGAGAGCCGCGGGTCAGAGAATAACTGGGCGCAGTGGGACGAGTCCCGAGAGGCGAACAGGTCTAACTGTGCCTCCCCGAACTGGTCCCAAATCAGCTGGACCGACTGGGGATGGAGTCGCCATTCGCCGGAGATGGGACGGGCCCGGGACAGCTCGCGGCTGCCCGATTCCGGTCTCCAGGAATGTAACTGCACGAAGGGACCTCAGGTGCTTCTGACTCCATATCAAGAGGTGGCGGGCGAGCTGCGACAACCGGCGCGAGCGTAGACCCCCCCTGGTGGTTGATGTACGCTACTGCCGTAGTGTTGTCTGAGCGGACAAGCACATGCTGGCCCTAGAGCACGCTCGGAAGCGGTGCCGGGCGAGCCGTACTGCCAACAGCTCGAGGCAATTGATGTGCATGAGGCGCTGGGCTCCTGTCCAGGAACCGGCGGCTGCATGCCCATTGCACATGGCACCCCAACCCGTGGTAGACGCATCCGTGGAGACAACGAGATGCCTGGAAACTCGCTGAATAGGGACCCTGTCCGTAAAAAGCTGAGGTTCGACCACGGGAAGAAGGATCGGCGGCACGTCGGAGTCACTGGAACTCGGAGCGAGCCGCGATGCCATGCCCACCTCGGGACTCGATCGCGAAGCCACAGCTGAAGCGGTCTCATATGAAGCAAACCGAGCGGCGTTGCCGCGGCCGCGGATGCCATATGCCCCAGGAGCCTCTGAAAAGTTTCAGTGGAACCGCACTCTTGCCCTCGAACTGTCGAAGACAAGCCAGCAGTGAGTGCGCGCGCTCGTTCGTGAGCTGCGCGGACATGGCGACCGAGTCTATCTCCATGCCGAGAAAAGAGATCCTCTGCACGGGGCAAAGTTTGCTCTTTTCCCGGTTGACCCGAAGGCCCAGACGGGCTAGGTGCCGTAGCACCAGGTCTCTGTGTTCGCAAACCTGAGCTCGAGAGTGTGCTAGTAACAGCCAGTCGTCGAGATAGTTCAGGATGCGAACCCCGTGTTCGCGAAGGGGAACAAGGGCTGCCTCGACGATCTTCGTGAAGACGCGAGGGGACAGAGCTAACCCGAATGGGAGAACGGCGTACTGGTATGCCTGGCCCTCGAAGGCAAACCGAAGAAACGGTCTGTGTCGAGGGAGAATGGAGACATGGAAGTACGCGTCCTTCAGGTCGATCGCTGCAAACCAATCCTGATACCGAACACATTCGAAAATGCGTTTGGCCGTGAGCATTTTGAACGGTAGTCGATGGAGAGAACGGTTCAAAATGCGCAGGTCCAGGATCGGTCGTAACCCACCGGTCTTTCTTGGGGACAATGAAGTAGGGGCTGTAAAGCCCGGACCTCACCTCGGCTGGAGGGACCGTCTCGATTGCACCCTTCGCCAGCAGGGTCGCAATCTCCGCTCTCAAGACTGGGGCATTGCCACCAACCATCGTGGAGCGAACTCCCCTGAAGCGGGGAAGAGACCGTGCGAACTGAATCGCGTAGCCGAATCCGATCGTTCTGATGACCCAGCGGGAACCCCGGGAAGCGCTAGCCAGGCTTCCAGGAAGTGAGCCAACGGGGTCATGCGAACCACAGACGTCCCCCCGGAGGGGCAGCGAGGCGGGTCGACCGGCATGCGTGCAGGAGTTACCCCGTCCGGATGCACCGTCGAAACCCGCTCCCCGACAGAAGAGACCAGGGAAGGCAGAGCGTTCCACGGGGGTCTGTTCTGCCGGGGGTCTGGCGACAGAGGGGGAAGGGATTGGCGTAGCCCGGGGACGACACACGCACCCTTCCGCGCCCTCCGAGACAGAGAGGAATGAACGGGGCGACGCACTGGACGTCGTGCGCGCTCATTCCAGTCTGTGTGCTCAATGACAGTGTCAGCTTTTCCTCAACCAGCTCAGGGAGCTAGCTAGAACAAAAGATTCTCCACCGGCCCTCCACCGGGGAAGGAGGGGCCCTGCCACCGCCTCCTGAGAAAAACCATGACACTATCACTGAGCGGCCCGCCTCAGGAACATCGCTTCGCCTGGCATCTAGCGGGGCACGCGGCCTGAGGGGGGGCTCTTTTCTTGGGACGCTTACCTGTGGCCTCCTCCGCGACGCGAACCGGCTGAAGGCTGCTGCTGGGGCCGCGTGGGAGGGAAGGGAGCCGCAGGGGGGCGTCCTCGGCGGCGAGCTGGCGGAGGCGTCCGAGCCGACGGCTGGTTGGAGGCAGCAGCTGGCCGTCGGGGCAGAGAAACCGCCTTCGTCTGCTCCTAGGCGGTCGAGAAGTGCTGGGCAAAGTCCTGGACCGCACCGCCGAACATTATGATGCTCCTGGACCACAGCGGTGGGCATCACCTGACCAAGGGAGCGAGCGACCGCCTCCGTGACCCGTTTAAGGACAAGGTAGGCGACAGGCTCGCAGCTCGCTTGGTCCGTCACCTCCTCGTGCACATTCCTGAGCAGCTAGCTTTGTAGGTGCTCATCATATGCAGGGCGGAGGCTGCCTGTCCCGCCGCTCTACAGAATCGCGCCGCCATAGACGACGAGAACCCATAGGCTTTGGAGGGGCATCTGAGAGCAACCGCCGGTTGACCGGGGGAGCCCCAGCGTACCCACAGACAGCCGCATCGCCGAGGGGAGGAAGGGCGGGGAACTAAGCACGCTTTTTTTTTTTTTTTTTTTTTATTTATTTATTTTTTAGTGCGTGTCAGTTCCGCATGCAACTCGGGGAAAAAAGGAAATTGGGGTTGGCCGTGGCCGTAAGGCGGCAGCGTTACCCAAAAACCAATTATTCAGCCGCGAGAGATCGGGGAGGGGCGGAGTTCCACCCCCACCCGATGCTCACGGACGCCCGAGATAGCACGGCCATCATCGCGGGATCAGACACGGCGGCGCTGACGCTCCCGAGGGAGGCAACGCGGCCGCATCCTCACTTCCCGAGGAGTCAAGCCCGCCTAGTGATGCTGTGATCGACATCGCATCATCATCTGGAGCGCTGCCCGAAGCAGCCGGTGCCACCGAAGAAGCAACCGACTGAATCGAACTAACGCTCGCTGGCTCTCGCACTGAGGCGGGAGGTGTGGCCCGAGGAATCGTCGGGGCTTATCCCACACCATCACCGTAAATCACCAGGTCCCCGGGTCGACGGGCCCCCTATGGAGGAAACCGATCGAGCGGGGGGACCGGGACTCTCACTCAAGTGAGATCATTGAGTCTCGACCTCAGTGTAGAGATGGTCATGTTCCCACAGAAGGAAAATGAGTCATCCACGAACGCTGCTGCTGCATGCTGAAATGCCCAGGCATACAAAGCAGCGATCGTGACCATCAGATGACGACAGAAATCAATCACACCCAGAAGAGCACGGGCGAACCGTCTTTAAAAAGACGTGCGCGTGCAGCTCTTTCAATGAGAGGAGGAAATTCACTCTTTCAGCGCTGAAGCGACCAGGGAGAAGCGCAAAGTCTGGCAGACCACTGCTCAGATCGCAGGCGATGCAGAATCTCGCTGGGTACCGCCGTCACACCAACACTGAAGAGGACGCTCGTCTCGAAGAGTCTTGAACAGTGCTTTCAGGAGTGAAGAGGTTCTCTTGGCTCCGAAGCGAAAACATACTGCGGTTGCGTTCACTTCCTCCTTTTATACTCACGGAGTAGGGCGGAGTACGCTATGCAAAATTCCGCAGCCCCAAGGCATTGCATGCCATTGGCTCGTGTTTTAATACTCGAAGAGGATTGGCTTTCTATGCGAAACCCCCAATCTCCGTCACTTCTGACGTAACTCGAAGTGACTACGATAGGGAACCCTAGTTATTACCGACACTGGTGGCCCTTAAGTAAACTACAAACAACAAATAAGCTGGTTGCTTCGTGCACAATTAAATTTACAAGAATGTGATTTAAGGCACTGATATACTCACAGCAACAATGTTTTTGTTCTTTGCTTAGAAGTAAAAAGTTGAAAATACTGGGAAAACTTTATTTTGATGGTCTCTTTTGAACTATGACTATAAGTAACTTTGCAACTACATGCCAACTAGCAGCCATTAGAGTATTAGTAGATTGGCTGCTTTCTGCAAACTGTTTATTGTGATGTTCCCTTAACAGACATTCTACTGACTAAGTAACTTTGCAACTACAGTACATGTCAACTTAATCTAACTCTAACCCATATAAGTTTAATAATACTCAACCAATACTCTTATGGCATGTATGTGCAATGTTAATTACAGTCAACAGAATGTGTTAAAGGGACCATCAAAATAAAGTGAAACCAAAATACGTTTGCAGCAAACAACATTTAGATGGCAATATTTTAAAGTAACAAGAAACACATTTAGGAAGTATAATTATAATGGAAGCAATGTAAACAGACAGCTTGTATTTTTAAGCACTTACATGAACTCACTAAAAATGTTGAGCTATAAGGCTGCCTAAATCATTGTTGTGAAGGGACTATTTTCTAGGTGGAAAAATCTTCTGGCTATGACGACTAATATCAGGAGCGCAACTACACAGACTGTATGTTGAGGGGTGTGCACATTCACTCTGGAATTTTTAAAAGGATGATTTGGCGCTCATGTCTATGTAACTTTGCACAGGTAAGTTTGGTAAGTGATTGTATTAGCAGAAATTCTTCTGACAGCAGAATAGCTAAGCTTCCATTTACCAATGTAAGTAATGTTACTGTAAATGTCTGGTAAACAGCATGGAGAGGAGAGGAAAGGAGAGGAAGAGAGGAGAGGAGATGAGATGAGAAGAGAAGAGAAGAGGAGAGGAGAGGAGAGGACTTACATTACATGTCTCATCATTATCTGATCGGTGTGGAAGAATGAAAGAGAATGCACTTAGAGGGCCAGCACAGGAGTCAGGAGTCTGTGTATAATCCAGACAACTTGTAACAACAATGTAGTAATGAGTTGGGATTTGCACAGAGCCACTGACATATCTGTAAACAAAGAAAGAGTTACATACTCCGACTGAAGGATTATATAAAATTAAAGTATGTACATATCAGGGCTTGTAAAATGCTAGTTTTGTGTCAACTGGTCATGGATCAAATAACTTCAGTTGCATTATGAATCTGGTAATGGAGATATGCATACTTTCATTTGTTACCCCACATCATCTCAGATGCACAGACATTCTTTCCACTCACATTCTGTCCGTCAACATAGTATTACTTTTAAGAGCTAAAACCACTGATGCTGCATGTGGAGTTATTTACACAAGATAAACTGCATTGTATGTCTACACACCTGTTTAAATAGCAAAATGTAATTTTTTATGATGAAAAAAATGCAACAAAGATAAATCATATAATAACGCCTTGGAAATGTTTTTTGTAGCCCTCAGCTTCTTATCTGTCTGTCTTATCTTGGTTTAATGTTTCCTTGTTTGTTTTGTGCTTGAGCACATGGCTCTGTCTCTGTTTGTGTTGGCCATGTGCTCGCCATGTGCTCCAGACTCCATGTTTCCTGTTACCACGCCCCCTTGTTTAACCCCCTTCATTCTTCTGAGTGTGCTCACCTGTTCCTCATGATCTCTGCTCCTTATTTACTGTGTTCTCTCTCACTGATTTTTTTGCCAGGTCATTTTAATTGAGTGTTGTGCTGCTTGTGTTACTTATTGCCTCATTTGCTTTCTTTCCCATTGTTCCAGTTGTGGATTCAGGGTTCTCAAGTCTCACGCATTGGCCGTGAGACACACTCATTTCGACCGGTTCACACGCTCACACGCCACACTGTGTATTTCTCACGCTGAAAAGGCAATGCCAACCAAGTTGTCCTGGCTGAAAGCTTTCTAACGTTGTATACGAGGCACAGGCAAACAAAGTGAAGTTTCCTGCCGCCAGCGCGTATCTCCGCCAGATTGCGTTCGTTACTAGGCAACATATATGCGCGCTGCGTGCACCACTGATCTATACATGACATGTCATTCAGTAGTGCGAACACACGGAAATGGACGGAACATCCTCGGCCACCGTACGTTCGTTACTAGGTAACCAACAACATCGCGCGAACACATGTGTCGTGATGGAGAAGAAGGTCAGTTGGAAGAAGCTCGTCTAACATTTTTGGGCTAGAACATTTAATATGTAGCCCATCGTACATTATTATTGATGCAGTCAAAAACTCTACAACTACTTTGCAACCAGGCTCAGTTTGGCTATCTTACGTTATCTGAAACTAAGAGAAATGTTAGTGGGTATGGAAAGGAATGAAGATTTACTGATTTTATTTTAAATTATATTATACTGTAATATTAATAGTCTTTCTAGTTACATTAAGGATGTATTACAGCAGATTGCTCTGGGTAATATTTAATCATTGTCATAATGTTGCATTTGTATTTTTCAAAGATGTCAGGAAAAAAGCAGAAAATATTTTGTCATTTTGGGCACCAAAGGGTAAGCCCCCTAAAAAGGTTGCCAGATTAGAGGAGGAGACAGTGGAAGAGGTGGTGCACTCTAATCTGTCCATTTGTTCTCAATGTCCCACCACACAATAAATCATTCGTCTAGATAGAAGACGCATTCAAAAATCAAAATGCAATTTTTAAAGATTTGTTTGAAACTGTTTGGAGCAATTTGTTATATTTTTGGTTAGCTATATTTGTAATACTGCATTAAAGAGTATTTGATGTGATGAATTGCTCTGTCATTTATCAGATTTACTAATTGTTATAATTTTAATTTGTTCTGGTTAATTATGAACAATGGGTAAAATTGGGGGCGGGGATGGGTGGGGCGGGGCTTCATTATGGCTCCTCCCCTAACCGCGTGTGATCTCACTCCAAGCTTTTGCTCAAACTTGAGAACCCTGTGGATTTCATTGTATGTTGTTCCTGTCTACGTTTCCTGTTGTGTGGGTCAAGTCAAAGTTAAGTCAAGTTGGTCTTTGTGCTTCCTTGCCTTCTGTTGGATTAACTTCCCCTCCTCTCTTGTCCTGCCTGGTGTGTGTCTCAATAAACTGTTTAAAACTCATTCTGTGCTTGAGTCTTCTCTCACTGTTTCATGACAAAATTAATGAATGTACTGTATATGATAAGTGATAAGTATAAGGCTGTGAAGACAACTTACTGTTTTATTGTCTCTGCTGAATCTCTAAGACCATTGTAGTCATAGTCAAAGATGGGCCCAACGACCACATTCACTCCATTTCTCTCACTAGCATAACGTTTCACAAGTGATTTCTGGAAATAACCCCACACACCTGGGAGAGAGAGAGAGAGAGAGAGAGAGAGAGAGAGAGAGAGAGATTAAGATGAATTGTTAAAAGTTAGGATAAGAAATGCATCTTTAATTGTACTATTAAATTGTACTATGCATCCTTATCTAGTACTGTTAATTGTAGACGTTTGCTGGAAATCTGAAAAAGAGCATCTTGTGCTTCAAAAAAGAAGAAAATCTAACCTCTTGTATGAGTATGATACAATACAATGGCCTACGATAATACTTCAGTGTCAGACAAAGTGTGACATTTTTCTTGCATCACAGTATCTATGTTCAGAATTATTCAAACCATGACACAAATGTAAATGAGTCCTCATGTTACACCTTACAGTCACATAGCACACGGTGTCACAAGATGTAACCCTAAAAAGGACAGAATGCTCAAGCATATCTGACTTTCCTCATCATAGGAACGTTTTTACCCATTACAGTTTGGTACAGGCATTACCCTACAACAGATCTTTAGTTGTAGTTTTAGCTCTTCAAAAATACTGGTAAAAATACCATCTTATGTACGCACACACAATAATTGGATCCTCCTCCTCCTCGTATGTGCGGCAGAGGAGGACGACCCCTTCAGCCACCATGGGCCCAGTGATGAAGCCCACTACGCAACTAGATCCCTAGCCTGAGCCAGGCACAGACCCAACACTAGAGCCCACTCCAACAATGGAGCCAGAGCCAGCCACCGGATCTGGCCACACTATCTGTCCCAAGACCGGATCTTACTGTCAGGTCAGCCCAAGAAACCTCGCCTACTGCTCAGACCATTCCTGAGCCAGAAGCAGAGGTTCCAGACTCATGACTTCACCTCGGCCTATAAGCCTGTTGGCTCCGTCTTGGCCGTGCGTTCCTTCAGCTCTACCGTGATTCATCATCCATGTGGCTCCATCGGGCTCATTCGATCCTCCGTCTTCACCTTGGTTCCTTGTTGTTCTGGTTATATTGCGGACTTCAGAGCCTCCGGCTGCTCCTCAGGCTTTACACTATTGGTTCCACCGGTTACTCGTTCCCTCCGGCCCCACCTTTGTCCTCACTCCCTCTGGCGTCACCTCAGTCTGCCAAGCCCCCGGCTCCACCTCGGCCTCGGACTTTCAGGCCTTCAGTCTCGCCCTGGACAGTCATCCTTTTGGTCTCTGGTCTCGGTCATCACCTCTTTTGGCTCTGCCAGTCAGGCTGTCCCCAGGCTAAGCCGCTTTAAAGAGCCCCTATCATAGTATTTGAAATGTTCCTATTTTTGTTTTAGGAGTTCCCAAAAACTTTTACGTGCATTCAAGGATAGAAAACACTTTGTCTTTTAATATGCATTTATTTTTAACTGATTTGCTCAACGACTCCCAAATGATTCGTTCGACGATTCATTTTCCCAAACATCTTCTTTGAGTGACGCGAATCTGCGGCGATTGGTCAAATGACCCAGTCAGTTGTTATTGGTAAACTGTAGGCAGAGACTGTCGGCAACGGAACGCCCATAACCAGGATTATAGCTTGTCAAGTGTTGTCAAGTGGTCCCTTACTCGCGTCTCCGTAAAGAGCAAGCTTTCCGGCGAAACTCACATTGCGGGGCTTTTGAGGGGCACTGCTTATTATATAGAGTGAAGTCATATTTGGCTAAGTCATTAGGAGGTAATTGCCATTTTTCAATGAATGTTTGGTGAATATCATAACTTTACCCCGCTTAGAAGCTGCGCGGAGTGTACACAACACACACAACACAATATAACTATATTGTGCATGCTATAGAAAACATAACAAACATTATTAATATTACTTACAGATTGTGATTCGGAGGAGGACGAACCTGATCCATATACACTGGATTGCAAATACTACTCGTTGCAAATATGAACACTGACCACTGATTCTTCACATGCTCGTCCCTGGACAATGGAAACAAGTGGCTGAACTGTCTTTGCAATGTAGAACACAGCGTCTTCTCGACATGATGTGATTCAGCTGAAGTATTTGCATGTGTTCTAGACGTCACTTCAAGTCTGCGCACGCAGTTGTTGGGAGCGGCCAATGACCTCTCTACGTCACGATATAACAGCTAATGACTCGTTTCAAAAACAATTCATTTCATAGACTCAGAGTCGACTCTCACTTTTGAAAGACAATAACTTTATATACGGTGCACTTTCAGATATAAATCTTTGCAGGATGTTTTCATTCCCTTAGAGCTATATTCCACACTACATGAACAGTCATTTTCAAAAATCCATGATAGGTGCTCTTTAAGGCACACCTCCAAGGTTCGCAAAGTAGTTGGAAAGGAGACCAGGGCCCTTTTTATAGATAGATGTTAATGAAGAAGAGGTTTCACCACACTGAATAAACTGCTGTTGTGGGGAATTTTAATCTCACATGTATTAATTGTTCTCCCATATCAAGAGTGGAGCTAGGCACCAGAGGACCGGCCGGGTCAGGGGTCATCTTAGACTGGGAGTGGTTGAGGGGGTTAGTAAATCTAACCTGGCATCATGAATCCTATAACTTTGTGGAAATTTACAGAGAAGGCTCGGCTTGCAGTATAACCTTGGGGAGGGCTATTTAGTCTTCACCCCGGCCTGTGTTCTGGGCGTCACTCCACTTCGCAGTAATCTGTGTTGGTGACTGAGCCTTATTGTTCTTGCAAGACTAATAAACTTTTTCCTTTTATCAATTTGACTCAGAGTATCTCTTACGAAGTGATGTCTGTTTATTGAATTTTTGCCTTAACAATTGGTGTCAGAAGTGGGATTCCTTGGAAGTGCCTTCTGGACCTGAGAGCGGACGGTGTTTGGCCACCTGGACTGAGCAGTTCCAGCTCTACCTCGTAAGCTTGAGAGAGAGGGGCCGACCACTATCAGGCCCAGGAGAGGCTCCACTCGAATCAAAAAGAACCCGAGGCACAGAGAAAAGACATCCTGGCAAGACACAGCTAAATTCGTTTTATATTGGGTATATAATTGAGAGGAACTGTACTGGCTGGGGTCTATTTCGGTGGTTGCGAATAAGAGAGTTGTCCAAAATTAATTGAGACCTGTTGACAGGTCAAGAGATTTCACATGGACACTGAGTTTTCGTAAATTGCGAATAAGAGAGTAGTCCAAAATTAATTGAGACCTGTTGGCAGGTCAAGAGATTTCATATGGACACTGAGTTTTCGTAAATCTGAAATTAGGAACTGTACTAGCTGGGGTCTATTTCGGGGTGCGAATAAGAGAGTAGTCCAAAATTAATTGAGACCTGTTGGCAGGTCAAGAGATTTCACATGGACACTGAGTTTTCGTAAATCTGAAAATAATTGACATTTGTCAGATCAAGAGATTTCGCCCAGATTACGGTCCAAAATCACTTGAGGGCTGAAAGCAGGTCAAGAGATTTCAGGTGGACTTTAATCTGTGGGGTAATTGAGATCGTGCAGCGGGGTCAAGAAATTTCCAGTAGATAAAGCGCTGGTAGTGCACCTTGGCCGATCTTGGGTTAAGAGATCGGATCTGTTGGAGACGTCCGACAGATTATTAGACGCGTCAACGGAAAATCCATGGGGGAAATAGAAACAGCCAGTATGGGGAAATCTCAGAGCAAGCTTGCCAGATATGATAGACCGGTGTTTTGCCAAATGAGAAAACATTATGGGCAGAAATGTGTGGATATAGAAAAATTGATAAAGTATCATGATTTTCCCAGTGAGGGAACACTGAGTGCTACCAGACTAAAGTAGTGAAGGAATCAGTGGTACAGGGCAGCGAAAAGCAAACAGGCTGTTGTGGCTGCATTCATCATGAATGTAAAAATGTGAATAGACAGTGGACATTTGGCTTGAGGAAGCTGGTAGAGAGAAAAGAAAATTCTGAAAGAATTCATGGAACTATTTACTGTATGAGCGACTGTTAAGTCAGGTTAAGTTGAACTTATATGAAAATAAGTTTCAGATAAAACAATAAGGCATTGAGTATGATTAACAGTTATATAAAGATAAGGAATGTTTCATTAAGCAGAATGGGGAACAATTTTATATTTTAGTGGTAAAATAATGATTGAAATTATGTTTAATTTTGGTTTGACAACCATTGGTTGAACCTAAAGGGTCCAGCTATGCTGGGAGTACAGTGACAGTGTTTGCTTAATCAGTCCGGCTTCCGGATGTTAGATATGTACTTGTTCTGTAATTAGTGTTGTTGATGGTAATACCAAATTAGTAAAATGTAAAGACAGCTATGTCCAAAGATTCTGGAAATCAGTAAGGATGATTGACATTGAAATAAGCTACTGTTTTATAAAATTTTGATAATTTGGGTCAGGGATAATTTCCCAGGACAAGTGACCAAAGTAGTCAAGAAACTTTGTGAAAACAACTTAGAATATTTTGAGCATTTTGATGCGGCTTATGAAAATTAATGATCTGTCAATAATAATGATGAAGATTATGATTGGGCTATTGATTAAATCCGCCACTGGTGGACTGTAAAGGAACACAGAGAACTGCTTATCAGTGGCTCTGTGTGCATTCCTGAATGGGACACACACTGCTACAAGTGTGTGCAGTAAGTTGGAGCTGGCAGAGAATGTTTTAATTGTGGTCAGCAGGATCATTAACACGAATAGGCCTACAGTTTGATGTAAAAAGAATGACTCCAACAGATGTGAGTTGCAAAATATATCAAAGTAACTAAAAGGATGATTGTGTTTTAATCAACATTTTAAAAGTTTTTTAGATGATATAGAGAGACTAATCGCACAGATGATTTACAATAACTGCAAAAGTATCACAAGCAGAGTGCTTGCCTCATCAAAGTTAGTGTGAATCCTAATTGGAGATTGAGAAACTCCAAGAGAAAACTTAAGTCAAATAGTAAACTATGGTAGAGAACTTGACGATTAAAATTGAGATTGGGGAAATGAAGAAACGTTATTGAGAACTAGAATAATTCTTTTATTAAGAACAAATAAACAGAAGCAGTACTTTATTAGCAGTTGTTGAATGCTGATTAAACAAACAACTTGAGAAGTTGACCATGAAAGAACTAGAAGCTTGTTTAGCTTTCAAAAGATAAGTTTATTTTGAGGC